CTCCAGCAGCAGCTCCGCCCGGCAGTCGAAGTGGCAGCCGCCGTCGGACAGCCCGCTCAGCCCCATCGCGCCCACCTGGGAAGGGGTTGCCGACCCCTGCGCGGACGCTGGGGCAGTGCCAAGGGGGGGCACCACTGGCTGAAGCCTCCTAGATGGGGTCCGAGTAGATGGGGTCGGGGGATCGCGCCACATCGCCCCTTCATGGTCGATGCATCGGCGATGCACCGGCGCCATCGGCGTGGAGAAACCTCGGCTCCACATCGAGCAGCATCGTCGATGCATCGCCGATGCGGAGCGATCCTTCGGGCCCATCGGCATCGAGGAGGAGGAGGGAGGAGGAGGAGGAGGAGGAGGAGGGAGAGGACGATGAGAAGAATGAGGAGGAGGAGGAGGAGGAGGGAGAGGAGGGGGAGGCGGAGGAGGAGGAGGAGGAGGAGGAGGAGGAGGAGGAGGAGGAGGAGGGGATGGCGCCAGAGGCGCCATGCCCTCCAGGAGGTGGTCATCCAGGAGGTGGGCAAGCAAAGCAGCACCAAGAGCCCAAAATTTGAAGGGGCCCTGGGGCACACAAATAAGTAGACACAAATCCCAAGATTCCCCCTATGTTCTTCCATTTCCTGGATGTTCCTTTTCCCCCCCGCCTTCCCACATCCTCCTTGGGATCGACGATTTCTTGTGCCTGTTTGCTTCTTCCCCCTCCTGGAAAATCTGCTCGAGCTTCGATCCTGTAGCCTCGACTTTCAGCAGGGGCTGGTGGCCCCCGCGGTGGTGACCACGCTCCCCGCTGGGCACTGCCCGCGACGCCGATCTTGGCCAGGCCCGATCCTGACTACCTACTAGACCACCCCAATTAGGGGCCTCCTGGATGGGGTCCGAGTACACGTCGTTCATTTCTAATCGCGTTCATTTCTAATTGTGCTCGTTTCTAATTGTTCCAGGCCCCCTAGTGACCAGGAAGAGGCCCAGGATAGAGCAATTAAAAACGAAAGGATCTTGGCCCCCAAAAATTAAAGATCTCTCGAATAATTAGAACTGAACAATGTGTAGATGGGGTCGAAGGATCGCGCCGCATCGCAAATGCATCGTCGATGTATCGGCGATGCGTTGGCGATGGCTGCGTCAGCGACGTCGGCGATGTATCGGCGACGTCGGCGTGTGGAGACACGGGCTCCACATCGAGCCGCATCGCCGATGCATCGGCGATGCGCCGCGATCATCCAAACCCATCTACTCCGACCCCAGCTAGGCCTAGACCAACCCAGTCCAAAGAACCGAATTTCGGGTTGGGGTGTAACTACGGGCTTCCGATCTGTTTTTGTCCATGCTCCCCGACCCCCCCATACTGGAACTGAAGGGCCAATCGGGGCATTCGGGTCGGGTTGGGGTGGTTTGGTGGGCGGTGAGACCCGGGCCCAGACTTCCAGTGCTCCGCGACCATTGGATCTGACGCTCTACAACTGGCACCTACAAGAAAAAATCCTGTGACAGGAGATCTCGGGTACCTTCTTCGACGATCTCTGAACTTCCCGGGGTGTCGTACCGATTCTGCAAGTCCCCAGGGCAATTGCGAGATGGTGGGGCTCCAGGTTGCGCCCCCCCCCCCCCCCCCCAGGTCTCAATAGGCCCCCGGGTAGTCCCATGCTGCTGGCCTCAACAGGCCCCACGAGTAGTCTGGAGCGGTCTCAACACCTTGGCGCCGCCTCCGGCGGCGCCCCTGGGGCGCTCCGCGACCCAATGTTGAGGCATTGAGACCGCCCCAGACTACCAAGGGGGCCTGTTGAGACCAGCTGAGACTACCCGGGGGTCTGTTGAGGCCAGCCGAAAATACCTGGGACAGGCTGCCTCCGCGCAACCCCAATTCTTACCTTGCCATGAAGGGATAATGAATTTCCGTGGGGAGGAGGAGGAGGAGGAGGAGGAGGAGGAGGAGGAGGAGGAGGAGGAGGAGGAGGAGGAGGAGGAGAGGAGGAGGAGGAGGAGGAGGAGGAGGAGGAGGAGGGGAGGAGGAGGAGGAGGAGGAGAAGAGGAGGAGGAGGAGGAAGGAGGAGGAGGAGAGAGAGAGGAAGGAGGAGAGAAAGGAGGAGGCACCGAAACCTAAAAGGAGGAGGAGGAGGAGGAGGAAGAAGGAGGAGGGGAGGAAGAGGAGGATAATGACGATGAGAAGGAGGATGAGGAGGCACCGCAACCTAGGAGGACAGGGAGGAGAAGGAGGAGAAGGAGGAGGAAGGAGGAGGAGAGGAGGAGGAGGAGGGGAGGAGGGAGGAGGAGAGGAGGAGGTGGAGGAGGAGGAGGAAAGGGAGGAAGAGAGAGGAGGAGAGGAGGGAGGGAGGGAGGAGGAGGAGGAGGAGGAGGAAAGGGAGGATGAGGAGGAGGAGGAGAAATGGAGGACAAGGACAAGGACACGGCGCTCGGGGAGAAGAGTGCGCAGCTACGTCGAGGCAGCTCTCTGGGCCCGTCTGGCCTCCCCGCGAAGTGCACCGATGCAAGACCACCCTCGACGCCTGGGGAGGGCCGTCCGGGCTTCCGCGGGCCCGCTGTTGGGCCCGCGGTTGCCCCCTGCGGGGCGATCCCGCTCCTCCGAAGGACCCGAAGCACGCTCCAGGACGAGCGGGGCGCAGGCTCAGTGAGCCTCGCTGGGATTCGGGCTCAAGGTGTGCGCCCCTCACCTGGGGGCCACGTCCTCCTCCTCCACCTCCTCCTCCTCCTCGTCTTCCTCCTCCTCCTCTTCCTCCTCCTCCTCCTCCACCTCCTAGGCTACGGTGGCTCCTGCTCCTCCTCCTCCCTTTCCTCCTCCTCCTCCTCCTGCCCTTTCTCCTCTTTCTCCTCCTCCCTCTCCTCCCCCTCCTCCTCCTCCTCCTTCTCCTTCTCCTCCTCCTCCTCCTCCTCATCCTCCTCCTTTTCCTCCTCCTCCTCCTCCTCCTCCTTCTCCTCAAGCGCCATAGCGCCACAACGCCACGAGTTGGCCTTCAAGCGCCACTGACACAATACTATCTCTCCACTTGTCAAACATGTGAAGCAATTATTCCATGGTGCATTTGTTGTGCATGATTTCCTGGGTATCTTCAAATATCACCCCCCTTTTTAACAACTCGATGATTTTTTTAACAGCAGATCTGCTCGAAGTTTGTCTTCTCTCTCCGAAACGTGAGCATCAGCGTCTGGGGAACAAACGTGCTGCGTCTTTCAGTTCAGCCTGCAAGTGGTCTTCGTCCTCCATCTGGTTGAGGAGGGGCAGGAGGAAGAGGAGGAGGAGATAGGGAGGAGGAGGAGGAGGAGGAAGAGGAGGAGATAGGGAGGACAAGGGAGAGGAGGAGGAGGAGGAGGCGGAGGAGGAGGCGGAGGAGGAGGCGAAGGAGGAGGAGGAGGAGGAGGAGGAGGCGGAGGAGGAGGCGGAGGAAGAGGCGGAGGAGGCGGAGGAGGAGGCGGAGGAGCATCTGCCGGCGGGCTGGTTTCCTATCTGGCGCGCCTCCCGTGCTGCGCTGCCGGGCCGCGGCAGGCCGCCGCCGGACCCCGCGGCCGCCGGGGCACGACCCGGGGCCGAGAGCTCCGGAGGCACGGAGCCTTTCCAACGCATCGGGCCGCAGGGGGCCATCCTCGTCGCCGCGGCCGGGTGCCCCTCGAGATCCCTCCCAGAGCCCGCTCCCAGGGCATCTCGTGGGCCCTCGTCGCCGCGGCTGGACTCGCCTAGTCGTCGTCGTCGTCGTCGTCGTCGTCGTCGTCGTCGTCGTCGTCGTCGTGGTCGTCGTCGTCGTCGTCGTCGTCGTCGTCGTCGTCGTCGTCGTCGTCGGCTCGATCCTTCTGAACCAACTCAACCGCCACGGCGAGGCTGTCTTGTGAACGCGACCTTTTGGAGCTGGCTTGGGGGCCTTTGAGTTCTCCGAGCAAGCAGCGGCCTCCAAGCGAACGGCGAGAAATCTAAGAGAACTGGCACGGAACTGCAACCTTCCGCGGAGTGGACCGTGCGGGCCACACCTGCAATGGAGGCAGTTCATGGTTCCCCTCGAGATCCTTCCCAGGGCGCCCGCGTCGCCGCGGCTGGACTCGCCTAGTCGTCGTCGTCGTCGTCGTCATCATCGTCGTCGTCGTCGTCGTCGTCGTCTGCTCGATCCTTGTGAACCAACTCAACCACAACGACGATGGCTCCCTCGAGCGCTGCGCATCTTTAAAGCAAAACTGCAGAGCTGGAAGCCGCTGTCAGGCAGAGCTTGAAGCCGTTCTTAGAGCTTCGAGTCGCTGGCGCGAGTCGCGGTGCGCCGCTTACAACGGCGGAATCGTGCAGAAAACAAACCGAACTATACACAAGGAGGGGCTCGAAGCAGGGGCATCGGATAAGGGAGCTTTGGGTAAGGAGTCCAGGGTCTGAAAGCTGGTGGAACACCACTGGCGGCTTCTCCATGGATATCACCGCCGCCCTCATCAGATAAGGAATCTTCCAGGGTCTGAAGCCTCACAAGCAAATTCCTTAACGAACGCCCCCACCGTACACAACATCGCTTGGTCGGCAAAATTGCTAGTCGTATGTACGCCCCAGCTTCCCAACCCGTGGGACGCTGGAGCGTCTACGCAACGAATCCCTTCGACGAGCTCACTGGCTCCTCGGCCGACCAAACGACGCGGTTTATGCCACGAGCTCTTCCGATACACAAAGTCTGGACTGCCACAGGTGTCGCTGGACATGTGTGGGGCCGACTCTGAGAAGGATGAGCGCAGTGCCTGATGATCCCTGAGGATCCGTGCTGGACTCCTCGGGGAGTTCACACACACACACACACACACACGCATTTTCTGAGACCCCGCTTCCTGTGGATTCTATGCTAAACCTGACAGGCCGTTCAAGATCCCAAACCCAGACATGCGACGCCCTGATTGTTTCAATGCGGGCTCCCTGGAACTCCCAACCCTGTCCCCCAAACCGGTTTTTCATCCCGAGTCGTTTTGTTGACGGTCCCGAGGCCCGGCGAGGGCCCCCCAAGGCCGAAATTGGCCAACAACCTCCCGTCCTGACTTTTGTTCCGACGCGACCACGTCTGGGAAAAGGGCTTAACCCTAAGTCGGGCCTGTCCCTCTACAGGGGGAATGACTATTCATTACAAAATAAGAGGGGGACCATGTTTTGACTACTTTGGGTATTTGGGCGGATTTGTTTTGGATATCTTTATGTTTCGCCCAAAATCCCTTATAGGGGGACAGGCCCAAATCAAAGGCCCCCCATACAGGGGGGTTTTGGACGAGGGGTTTTGGACGAAAAATGAAAAATTAATCGCACAAAAAACCCAATGGGCAAAAATAGTCAAAACCTCGTCCCCAGACTATTTTCTTGAATTTTCCCCTTCCCCCTGTAGGGGGGCAGGCCCGACCGAAGCTTAACCAAAGGCCCCCCATGGCAGGGCGCGGCCCTCGAGCCGTCACGCACTGCAGCGCAGACACGGCCGCGCATGGCGCGCTCGCCGAGCGCTCTCTCGGCAGCACCCCCCGCGGAGGGGGCCGAATGCCAAGGGCGGGCTAACAGCGATGTTGCTCAGCGGTGATGTTGGGAACTAAACCGTAGAAAATCGCGAACCACAATTTCCTACATCTCCTATCTGCGAACGGATCAAGCGAACACGACACAGCGAATTGTAGGAAAGCGCGAGCCACGCGTTCCCACACTACCGAAACCTACATCGCCGTTACCCACCCCGCCGTTAGCCCGTCTACGGGAATGCCCGCGCCGTGCCAACAACAAAAATCGGGTCGGGCGAAAGGGGGGGATAGCAAAGGGGGGGCTTGAGAATCCGCTCACGTGGCTGATGTTCCCGGCGCCTCCCGGCGCTGGAGGCGGCGATGCATCGAGGAATGGGCCCCTCGGTGGGGCCGAAACCAGCTGCATGCAGCAAATTTCGTAGTCCCCCCCTTTCCCAATCCCTCCCCTTCGTCCGGCCCGACACAAACACGGGGGCAAACGCCTTCCTGGTCAGGCCAGGAGGGCGCGATGCACAGCAGACGCGAGCGATAGGAGGTTTACTTTTTGAAGTAGGCAGCATAGAGGAGGGTCGTTTCACGACGCTTGCAGTCGCTGGCCAGCGAAAAGACTGCTGGACACTCGGCGCTACTCGCAATCGCCTCGCTGTCACGGCCCCAAGCGTGTTCCCTGAAACGGGAAAAACAGCCCGCCCCCCGACGGACCGAGAACGGGGTTTCCGCGGTCACCCCCTCAATAGGACATCTTGCTGTAAGAAAGATCGGGCCACTTGCGTCGTCGAACTTGGAGCTCCCCGAGGCGCCCCAGGGATTCGAGCGGCCTCCAGGGCCATCGGGGGATCCGACACTTCAGTGAGGCAGCTGCTGGCAGGTTGCTACTGTAAGACCGAGAGCAGTAAAACATTCTTGGGGCGACGAAGGCTACAATCTGCAGGGGCGCGGACATCGACGGCGAGGCCGGCGCCGACGCCGGGAAAAGCATGCCATTCATGCACAGATGCAGCAACCGCTCGGAGATCAGGACGGCTTCCTTGCGTCGGCGCTGGGCCCCCCATCCTGGCGCGCGGAGCGCGCCAAGGACGTCGTCGTCGTCGTCGTCGTCGTCGTCGTCGTCGTCGTCGTCGTCGTCGTCGTCATCGCCTGTCGTCGTCGTCGCCGCCGCTTCCGCCGTCGTCGTCGTCGTCGCCTGTCGTCGTCGTCGTCGCCTGTCGCCTGTCGTCTGTCGTCGTCGTCGTCGTCGCCGTCGCCTGTCGTCGTCGCCGCCGCCGTCGTCGCCTGTCGTCCGTCCTCGTCGTCGTGGCCGTGCGCGCGGAGCCCGCGCCCGCCCCGCCCCCGGCGGGCGGGGGCCACCAGCTCGGCCTCGAGGCCGCGGGCCGCCAGGAGCACCATGCCCTCCTGCAGCGCGGCCGGCGGCGCCGCCGGCGCGGCCTGGCGGCGCCGCCCGCCCACGCGGCGCGCCCACGCGGCGCTCGCCGGCGCTGGCCCGTCGGCTTCGCTCCGCCCTCCGCGGGCCTGCGCCTCGCTCGCCCTCGCTGGCTCCTCTCCCTCGCCTGCCTCGCTCTGCCCTCCGCTGGCTGGCTCCTCTCGAGTGGGCCTGCCTCGCCTCCCTCGCCTGGCCTTCCTCGCCTTCTCTCCGCCCTCCACGGGCCTTCCTCACTCGTTCGCCCCATCGCTCGCTCCTCCTAATGATCCTCCCCACTGCCGATCTCACGAGGTCGATCTCATCCAGGCCCATCTCACAATCGATCTCACGATTGCTTCCACCATCCACCTCCACGGGACACCACGGGACACCGCGGGACACCGCGCAACGGGACGCCACGGGACACACGGAGCTCTAGGGCACGTCTTCCTCTCCTTTCTCGATCGCCTTCGCTGGCTGGCTCGCCTCAGTGGGCCATTCCTCGCCTTCCTCGCCTGCTCGTCTTCGCGCTCGAGGGCCTGTTGAGTCTCCACCGCCGCCTGCGTCGAGGAAATTCAGGATCGAGGGCGAGCGAGGATCGAAGATCTCATGTGTTTCACGCCAGGGCCATGGAATAGTCATGGCTGTGCCCCCTTGGGGACATGCAGCATCATAGAGTGTCAGAACTATACGACCACTCTTCGGGTGATAAGGAGGTTGTGAGGGGGGGATGGGGCAACTGATGACAACTGCAGTGGCTGTGATGGTGACGACGCTGGTGACGACGATTTTGCGACCACGCACGACGACCCCTCTGGTGACAACGCATGACGGCGATGCACGGCGGCGATGCGAGTGACAATGCATGTGATAGTGGCGATGCGTCGCCGCGATGTTTGTGATGAGCGCGGCATCGCAAACGGGCAGCGCGCAACAGTAGCAATGCATCAAACAACTTTGGCTGGCAGAACCTGGCTCGCCTGGCTAGCGACTAACGGCCTGTCGACCTCACGATCGATCTGACTATATTCTCCCTCTACCAGCCTTGCCAACCATCGATCTCAAAATCGACATCACTATCGATCTCGCGACCGATCTCGCAATCGACTTGTTTATCGATCTCACCATCGATCCCACTATAAATCTCTCTACCGATCTCACGATCTGGAATGTTTATGGATAAGCCGGAGGGGAAAATTTCTGGATGAGTCGGGAAGGATAAGTACATACTCGAAACGATGACACTTGAAGGAGGATCCTGTCATCTGACACACAGAAAAACCATCCCCAGGGGAAGACATCATCCGACCACATGGACACGTCCCTGCAACTCCCTACCATCTGACCGCACATCGAAAAATCCCCTGCGGGGACTGCCATCCGACCATATAGACAGCAATCGTCGGGGGGGCCTAGCATCGGACAGCGACGACGGAGATTACAGACACTACACGCAAGGGAGCAAGACCACACGAAAACAAGCAGCAACGCGAGTCGCGAGGGTGGGTGAGGATCAAGGGCGAGGGCCAAACTCGGGGGGTAAGCATCGAGCTGGAATCGGCGATACGTAGCCGATAGATCGACGACAGGCTCTCGATAGCGAGACCGCACGCTCTTGGGCGATCTAGGGAGCCCACACAAGACGTACGCGCCAAACCACGCGCGTGAACACGGCCCCTAGTCTGCGATACCAGCCGCGCGATACGAACGTTTGCGCAAGGCGTACTGTCGAAACAAGCTGGCTTCATGCAAATGCACGTCCTTCTCTCGCTCCTGACTGTCAAGCGTTTGGGGGTCAAGGCGTTCCCCCCCTGCTCCCCTGTCTCCAGGCCCCGAGCACCCGTTCGGGACGACGCGTTGTCACCCCTGGATTCCAGGTGGCAAGCCCTGAGATCCGACGCTCAATATAAAACTGCGATTTCGCCAAAAATCACGACAGGAACCCCAGCCCCAATCTTTCTTCGGCGCCATGTTTTCGGTCCGGATCGATCTGTGTGAGGGTCCCGGGGCCCGAAACTGGGCGAACACGCCCGTGGTGCAGCAAAAAGCAGCGGCAGGGTCTCGGGGAGGCGCAGATGCTGCGGAAAGAGCGTCCCGAGGCTGGAACACCGCCGAGAGCCCAAGAACCTTGCCACATTGCACCCGGGGCGAGCTCGGGGCGAACACCGCGCTGCGAGAGGTACTCCCCTCCCCAGACCCCCGATGTCATGATCGTGTCACGACGTGGCCCCCCCCCCACAAACCGTGGGTCCCAGACCCGGTGAGGGCCCCCAGAAGCCGAACATTCCCCAAAGCCTCCCCCTGAGATCCGACAGCGTGAACATATTGAACCACTGTGGACAATCACGACCAGAGACCTACTAGACCCCATCTGTCTGCAGCATTTTTCGAGCCGGATCGATCTGTGAGGGTCCTGAGGCCCCACACCCGCGAAAATGTCAAGCTCGAACAATTGAAACACCAGGATCTCAGGGCCGTGGTGCGACGCGAGAGCGGGAGGAGAAAAAGGAGGAGGAGGAGGAGGGGGAGGAGGAGGGAGAGGAGGAGGAGGGAGTTCCGTAGCCATTTTGGCTCAAGGCCATTTTGGCGGAGCACAGGGCTCAGGCGCCGCGCCCCCCTCACGACATTCTCTCGTGAAAGCTCCCGCGGCCAGGCCCGCGGCTGAGCATCAGAGGGCGCGCGCGACCCACGGCGCGCTCGGGACGCCGCAAGGGCTCCCCCGAGCCGGCCTGGCACAAGAGGCAGCGGGCACAGCGAGGGCGAGCTCGCCTTCTCCTCAGCGTGTTCCAGGCCAAGCGTCTCCTCGAATCGCACCACAGCACGATGGGGGGAGGCACTTGGACATGCAGGCAGTGCGAGACCAGGAATCCCAACTCTCAGTGGACATGCTCCTGCGGCAACGTGTGGGCTCCTCGCCCCGACCCCACCAGACGTTCTGCCAGCAGAAAGAGGGACCAGAAGAAGTCCGCCAGCATTAGGGAACTGATCGCGCATATTCCAGTTGCAGCACATGATGAGGCGATCGCCAACATCACGGTGTGGGAGCCGCCGCCGCCCGAGGCGGACGAGCTGAATATCTACAAATCAAAGGCCCAGTCGAAGCTCCAGAAGTTCGCCAACCTCCTCGTCGCGGTCCGCGACGCAGGGAAGGAGGATCCTGCCCTGGAGTTCGACATCGGGGTGCTCAAATACATGATGAGCGCCAGTAAGGGCTCAGAGAAGCAGCTGCATGAGTTGAAGGCCCAGCTCATCAGCGCCAAAGAGAGGCTCGGCAAGATCCGAACCAAGGTCGAGGAGTTGCTAGACGAGGAGGCGACGCTCTGCCTGATGGAGCAGAAGCTGCAGAACTCCATCCAGCAGCTCCGAGAAGCGGAGGACGCACCAGACCATGATGAGGACTGGCTGATGGCCCCGCCAGGAGGAAGCGAGCATGGCCTCAGGGCAGCCAGCAGCGCCCAGAGGCCATGGGTGCAAGCGGCGGCTGAGAGGGCGGCAGCGCAGGCGGAGGCAAAGGCTCAGTGAGCCAAGGCCGCGGCGGGGGCGATAGCCAGCAGAGTGCCGCCGCCGCCGCCACCAACGCCCAACCAGCCTCTGGCGCAGATGCACGCATACCAGCCACCCCAGAAGGCGGCCCCGAGGGCAGCTTCGGGGGCGGCGCGCAGCCAGCCAGCCACAGCAGCAATGGCGCCAGCGGGCGGAGGGGCACGATGGCCCAACAGCAGCGGCCATCACTGCGATGACGGAGCAGATGAAAGCCGTTCAGGCCCAGCAGCAGGCCATCCAGGAGCACCTCTCGAAGATGCAAACGGGCCAGAACTTCCACGCATTCGCCCTGGCCAGGGTTCTGGGAGTCGGCATCGGAGCAACGGCAGGAGATGTGCTCATGGACGCGCAGACGATTCAGAAGGCACAGCGGGCGGTGATCTCGGGACTATCGATCCCCAGCGCGAGCCCCCCTGAACTTCAGGGGTTGGCGCCAGCGCGCACGCCGACTGACGCCGCCCCGACCGCGCCGGGTTTTGGCGCAGCCCCCCCTGGTGCAGCGCCAGCCACGGGGCCGAGGGCGCCTACACAGCGCAGTGCGAACATGGCAGAGGACCCCGTGGCAAAGACACCGCCACCGAAGAGGCAGTCGGCATCGCCGACACCAGCCAGGGCCCCCAACATTCGCGTCTCAGCCGGGACGAGGACCCAGGCCGAGGAGAAGGCAGCCCCAGACACCCCGAGGGCAAAAGGAGTGTCCAGAGTGACAGCAGAGCTGCAGAGGAGCGAGCCCAAGGAGGAGGTCATGCCAATCGACCCAGAGCTACTGATTGCGACGCAGCCAATGGTGACGGAGGAAATGATCCCAGGGCCAGTGCACCTCTTGCAGCACATACAGGGAGCCTCCATCGACTTGACCAGTCAGACGCAGCGCCCCCCCACACCACCGCCGGCGCAGAGGTCGCCTGGGTCGCCAGCGGACCCTCCGCAGCCAGCGCCCGCGGCGCTGTTCCCTCCTGCCTGGGCAGCAGCAGCATCGTCGGCCGCAGCATCTTCAACGGCAGCATCGTCGGCATCACATACGCAGGCAGCGGCCTCGTCGGGACCGACGGCAGCGCCAGCGGCAGCAGCAGCGGAGGCACCCTCTGCGGCTTCGAGGACTCGACCGCTGGAGGAGGGAGACAAAGAGAAGGACATGGGAGACTCGCCCAACAGGTCCCCCCCAAAGAAGATGCAGTGCCAGGGATACGAGCTGGAAGACGGGTCCAACTTGTAAGGCCTAGCAGGGTCTCTTGGGGCCCAGTCGAAGTGAGACGCTTTGACGCGCATGCACCGATAATTGTCCGACAAGCCAGGGATACGCTTTCTCGGACCTGTTTCACTAGGCCGATTCTTAGGTCGGCCCCTGCCTCGGATGTCTCGTCCAAGGGTCATGGTCTTGGGAATTCGCAGACAGGTAATGCCACCTCTTCGGCTGCCACTCCAGGTGATGCCATTGAGGACTCATCGTCATCTTCCACTCGGCCCAACGGCCGAACGAGGT